TGATGTATTATCTCTTTCTTTTTCTTCCTTTTCATCATCATTTTCATTCACTTTAATATGTAAGACTATAGTATGAACAATCTGTATAACCTTATGAACTGTGTCATTTCCATATCTTACATTATGCATCAGGGAATCTTTTTCTTTATCTTTTATGCAGTGGGAACCATGTCATGCAGTTGTTGCCACACCTTTGCTTATTGCATTTGAACTGCTTCTTTGCATCTATCTTGAAAATAGCCATGGTATGACAACATATGATATTATTATATTAACTGTTTAGAAAATAATACCATGTATATCGGTTCTGATTCCATACTAATTTTGTTTTATGCAGTTACTAAGCCTCCACCTTTAAGCCTGCAGATTGTCTGCCTTCCTCTGTTGGCATTTGAAGTAACCATTCTGATAGATTTTTTCCATCTTTCCTTTACTACAGGTGTACCATGAGTCAGACAAGAGGAGAACCAATCAATAGTAGTCCTGCATTTGAGAATATAAGTGCAGGTATTTCAAGGAGCTGATCAATAATATTCCTGCATTTAATTTCTAAATTGTCTCATGTACTAATGATTATATGCTTGAATCATTCGTCCTTTATTTTTCAGCTGTTGTGAATTTAAAGAATTTACAGAAACATTTTCATGCTACTTGATAAATTAATTTAAAGAAACAAGAAAACCTTTTACTTTTATTATAGGTGCTTCACTTGTTGTTGTTGTGGATGCTGTCAGAAAAGGTGCAGCTGCATAAGGCATGGCAATTACAGACTATGTTTGGCGTGGACATGATCCCACATCTTAGTAAGATTGGACCTGCACTTGACCTTTTTAAAGCTAAATTCTAGGTAATGCTATTAATTTGAATACCTTTTTAACTTCACACAAATCTTATTTCTTCCATTCTTTTCATTTTTTTTATAAATACAGGTTGTTATAGATGAAGCAAGATCTGAACAAGCTGCATCCATGACTGAATTTCATTGGCTAGGGCATAAATTTCCAATATCAAATGCCAAAACTCGTGTTTCCATTTTGAAAGGTTAGTTATCATTTATCAGTCTTTAGTGCTTCCGAGGGTATGTCTAATTCTTCGATTTCCCGATTTACCCTTTCAGCTATAGGTGCTGTATTAGGGCAACGTACCGTTGAACGCAACCAATGTTTGTTAGTATTGCAAAGAGTAAAAGATAAATTAGATTACACATGTCAAAGAGTCTCAATATTGATAACTGTTATGTATGGTCTGTCAACACTTTACCACCCATTTTTTTAAATTTATAAATACGTAATGTATTAAATATGATTATAAAGCTATACTATTATTGTTGCTATAGCTTAATTTATTCTATTCAATAGGACAATTTAAGATGCTGTAACTACTTAATTGACCTTAGGTGTAGTTGATTTATTTGATTCGGCCAACCTTTTGACATCATGCCTAATTGCCTATAGTTTTATTAATTGGACCTTGATTACTTTAATCTTGAAACTTAAAAGAGGAAATATTAATAAGTTAAATAGTTTCTTATTATACAGTTACATATTTCATGACAAATAATAATAAGATAACGGAAATAGGAATTTCCTAATAAATAAATAAACAATAACATAACATTTAGCTATTTACCTCAAATAATATTAAATTTGTCAATTGTTAACTGAAACAGGTAATCCCTACTAAATATGGCAATTGAAAACTAAAATTTGCAATTCCTAGATCCTAATAAGTAATAATGTAATATCAACTCAAAATTCTAAAAATAAACATGCTCAATAAATAGAAAATAAAATTTTAGTTTTTTTGGTTAATAAACATCCTCCCTAAATATCTCACGATTTCAAAACTAATCAAGCCGCTCTAATCATCATAAACCAAGGTTCTAAAAAATTTGTCATGGCGTGCCATGACTCTATAGTTTGTACTTGACAGTACGTTTTAATAAAATGTCATCTTAAGTATATACAAAATTGTTGGCTTAGGTCACCTCTTAATAATGACGTTTCTCACCACGAGGTCACCATTAAATGAATGACGTTTCTCACCATGTGATGAAAAAAATGAAAAAGTTACAAAACCTGAGAACTTGTGAGGTTGTATGATCTTCTTTTACAGGTAAATAATCATTCATTCAGTCTGAAATCACCAAATTCGATGAGGGGCATTATTATGAATACTAACAAAGACCCATACAAAAACACATATACATAATGATATAGTTTTAAGAGCAATTTATAGCAACTTTTGGCATTACGTAAATATTGTGCAGAAAAGAGCATTTTCAGAGCAATTTATAGCAACGTATTTCCGTTAAATGGACATTTGTATATCAAGTAAAATAGACTAAAGCGAGCACATTTTGGTCAAAATGAGATAGTTTTTGGAAAGGTCAAATTGACAAAAATGCGGCAATTTTGGCATCAGGTCAAAATTGTGCTATAAAAATAACATGGAGCCTACAAAAGGTGATTAGGGGAATTTATTAACTTTGGCAAAGTTTCAGTCTGAAATCACCAAATACGATTAGGGGCGTTTTAGTAATTCTTGCAAAGTTTCGGTCTGATATCACCAAAATCGATCAGGGGCATTTTAGTAATTTTGTCGAAGTTTCAGTTTAAAATTACAAACTATGACAAGGGGCATTTTGTAAATATATTACACATGGTATATTGATATTATTTTCGATATCATACCATATTATGAAAATATTATATATTTATTATATTTTTTCCTTATTCTACAAGCTTTTCAAATTTACAGTTTTTTATATGGTAATTATTAACTTAAATATGGTATGATTTTATCTATTTGTGTACTTATATTTGACATGGTATACTGATATTATTTGGATATCATACCATATATAAAACATCTTTTAAGTATGGAAATGATATTACATTGCAGAATCTTTATGTCATATCAGCATTAACCAAATTATATTTCCCTATATTTTGTAAATATATTAGACATGGTATATTGATATTATTTTCGATATCATAACATATTTATGAAAATATTATATATTTATTATATAATTTCCTTATTCTACAAGCTTTTCAAATTTACAGTTTTTTATATGGTAATTATTATCTTAAATATGGTATGATTTTATCTATTTTTGTACTTATATTTGACATGGTATATTGATATTATTTTGGATATCATACCATATATAAAACATATCTTAAGTATGGAAATGATATTACATTCCAAAATCTTTATGTGATATCAGCATTAACCAAATTTATTTTTCCCTATAAATATACTGTCTACGATTTTTCATTACAAATCAAAATTCTCTCTAACTAATTATCCCCTTCCATTGCAGATAATAGTATTCCATGGCAGCTAACAATGCAGATCAGGTCGTCTTTGATAAGGTTGCTGAAATCAACGCATCTAAAGAGTCTTGGAACATACGTGTTAAAGTCGTCATGCTTTGGAAGCCGACCTATATAAACAATCCTAATATGGTCGCAAGCCTGGACATGATTTTAATTGACCAGGAGGTACTGTTTTTACACACTTTATTTTTTAGATTATCAATTCTTATGTTATTTCTATTCAAAAAAATTTAAATTCGATTTTTGTTATGCTTTTTTACTTCTATTCATACAATTTTAATAATCAACTTTATTATTTTAATAATAAACTTTAGTCTATGTAATGAAAATCTCTATTGTTCCTTTTTTTAATACTTTTTTTTACACTTTTTTATCTTTCATTGTCACCTACAGGGAAGTAGAATTCAAGCAACAATAAAAAAATCTTATTCCTGTATTTGAATCCCTATTCGATGAAGGAGCTGTCCGGGAGATCAGTAACTTCGCTATGGCTAGCAATGAAAGCGAATACATGCTTGTTCCTCATAAACATAAAATCAATTTCTACAAAACCACAAAAGTTCGTGTATCCACTGATTTTGTTGATACAGTAGATCCTTATCATTTTATCTCTTTCCCAGATTTGCTAGCCAGGAACTTTGACACTCGTGTTGCATTTGGTATGTTATGTTGTTAGTTTAACTTATTTCTATACTTCAATTTTTAATGTAATACACATTTGGATTATTATTACTAATTTATTACATTTTTTCACATAGATTTTCTAGGTGAAGTTGTGTCAACTGATCCCATGCGAGTCATTGTTGAGTATGGAAGAGAGAAAAGGTTAATGAATCTGGTTGCTCAGGATTTAAGGTACACATTCGTATTATTATTACACATTCCCCCGTTTATATTTATCTTTCATTAATAACCACCATGCATATTTAGTGGTACGAGAATTGCAGTCGCTTTGTGGGGCAGTTTTGCAATGAAGCTGAATACTTACATTTCACAACATAATAATGAGACTGCTCCTGTTATTATCTGCTACGTTTGGCCAAACTCAAAATTTGGGGTGGTAAGTATTTTTTACAACAAATTATCATTTCAACTTCAAAGTAATTACTGACAATATTATTTTACTTTTTTGTTGCAGGTCAGCCTCAAGTTGGTAATTGTTTGTTTGGGTCTAGATTGCATATAAATGATGATATGCCTCAGATTTTGGAGTTCAAATCAAAGTATGTTATTTACCATAGTTAACACATTTATCTTACTAAATCATTACTTTTGTTGAATAACCTCACTTTTTTGTATATGTAGTCTTAATGCTTTGGATACGAATGTTGAGTCTTCTAGCCGTACATCCCAGCTCAACTCAGATACTGTTGTGGCTAATCCAGAGGATTACTACCTCCGTTTTCAGATAAAAAACATTGATGAAATTCCTGATTTTAATGAGGTTTACTTAACATTTTTATATAACAGTTTCCGCATTCTATTATTGTTTTGATTTTATATGTACAATTGATATGAAATAATATTTTAATATGATTCCTTTTTTTTCCTATATATGAAACATGAAGTTGGTTTAACCATTATCGCTACTATCATTGGTTTTGATATGGATGATGGTTGGTATTCATTTTATTGCCGTGATTGTTCTAAAAAGTTACTAAAATGATGATGATGTTGATGCTGGCCCTTTTCACTGTGATGGTTGTGGATTTGTCTCGGATGTATTTGGAAAGTAAGTAATTATTATCTCTTTGACTATACATGTATTTTACTTTTTTCATATATTTCATTGTGTATGTCAAGCTAAATATAAGTATTATGTTATAATTTTTAGGATTAGGATAGTAGTTCGTGTGCAAGATGAAAGTGGGTCTTCTTCGTTTGTATTGTTTGAGCGTCATGTAAAAGATCTTATTCATCGTGGAAACCAATGGTTGATGGAAAAAATAGCTAAGGTTTGATAAAATATCTCCGTTATTTAAATGATTGACATATATGATTTTTCTTCTTTAACTTTTCCAACCATTTTATAATGTAAATTAGGATCAAGGGCGACAACAGATACCTGATGAGTTCAAAATTCTTCTAAATAAGAAGTTTGTCTTCAAAGTTCAGATATCCATGTTCAATCTGCAGAACAACTATCGTGCTTACACTGTGCATAAGTTAACTGATGATGAAAGGGTTCTTGCTGAGGTGACAAAACGGTCACCAAATCATCAACATCATAATATAAATGATAATGGTACTCCTATTAACAAGCCAAATAAGGTTGGTAACTGTCTCATATATTTCCAAAGTCAAACCCTGTGCCCTCTCTTCAATATATTTTTCTTTCATTTTTCATGACTTTGTGCAAATATGTTATGTTTTGTTTTATATTTTTCTTGATCGATATTTATTATTTTCTGTTTTCTGCAGGAAAATACTAATTCTGTGCATGATGACAATCTTGATGTTGTTGACCTTGAAGCTGTAACACCATCATCGAGTACGGGGAAGCGCCCTATTGAGATTGATGCCAACACTGACTCTTTGGAGTGGTCTTCTTCAAAAACTCGTGCTGTACGGGATACCTTGAAGATCCCAAAGTTGGAAAAGTTGGACTAATATGAAGCCGCCCATCAAAATTTTACATATCATCTTCGATATGTTTATAGACATTTTCTTTTTAATCTTTTGTGTGTCGCATTTTAAATTGTCTGTTTATTGATCTTTTGGTTGTTTTTAAAATTTTATTGAGTTTTTATTTGGTGTGTACACGATGATAGAATTGGAGGTTATGACAATTTCAAGTTATTGAACTCTTTTGATTTAATGCATATTTTCTTTCTTTTTTCTTTCGTTCATCATTTGATTTTATAAATTTATTATATATATATATATATATATATATATATATACACACACACACAGACACACACACGAAAATTAATATTTTTTTTTATATATGCTAATTCACCTACTTTTATTTGTCTAAATGGAATTTAAATTTTATTTGCATAAATATACATCGTTTACATATGGTAACAAAATAAAATCATAGTGTAAGTATTCAAAATGTATTTTTCTATATTTTATTTATTCCTACCATAATTATATGCATGCTTTACTTTTTACCTAATTTAAATCCTTCTAATATTCAGTTACCTAATTTAAATATATATATATATATATATATATATATATATATATACACATGGAAATTTATATTTTTATTATATATGATATTTCACCTACTTTTATTTGTTAAAGTCAAATTTTTAATTTTAATTTGCATAAATATGCATCGTTTTCATATGGTAACAGAATAAAATCATGGAATATGTAATCAAAATCAATTTTTCTATACTGCATTTATTTACTCCATAATTATATGAAGACTTTATTTATTACCTAAGTTAAACCCAACTAATATTTCATTACTTTATTTAATTATATGCAATATTTATTTTTTACCAAATTTAAACCCTTCAAATATCCAGTTCCCTTATTTAAAGTGTTAGAAATCATCATCATCACTATATATATATACAGAGATATGACCAAGAACGTAAAAATTATCAAACGTATTGAAATGAGTGACATTTCAAATGCTTCGGGAAAGAAAAAACCTACAAGGTTTGTTACTAATGTTTCACCCAACAACACTTCCCCAACAACACCACTGTCTGACATCACAAATGGTAAGATTCATATTTAAGCATTCTGTTTATATTTGAAGTGCTTAAATGTTTATAATGTTCAATTTGTATAACTCATTTCTCTTTATATTTCCTTTGAGTTTTTGATATACATACCATTGTTCCTTAGTGAATGCATCATCTTCATCCAATGCTCTAAAAACATCATCACATTCAACATTACAAACAATATCCCACAAAGGTACATTTCTTATATGTTATGCATCTTTCATATTACACTTTCGTTTTTATATTTGCTTATCTATTGTACTATTAATATTTTTTAATATTTCTCCTCCGTTTATGATACGAATCTTCATTTCAGAAAATAATTTTTTCATACCACCTAATTGTCGAGTTGCTCGAAACCTTTCCGAATTACCTAAGGCTACCCCGTCTCATAACATCATACAACCGAATGTTCAATCCACATTTATTTCCTCAAGATCGCCACTTTCACAGCTAACCAATCAAGGTAAAGTATTCTTATATATTTACATCTACTTCTTAAATCATATAACGTCAATTTTAACTTCCCAATATATAAACTTTTAACATTTAATTTTTAATACATATATGTCTATAATATCTAATTTGTATAACTATCTTTTTTAATACATATAGGTCTATAATATCTAATTTGGGTAACTATCTTTTTCCTTTAATATCTTATTTAATTTAATTTTATATATACTTTTCCTCTTTAGTTCATTCACCCTCTTCATCGAATGCTTTGAAAACACCATCATCTCAGACAATACAAAGAAATTCTCACAAAGGTACATTTTGTTATATGTTATGTCTCTTTTGTATTGCATTTTTTGTTTTTTTATTTGCTTATGTGTATTAAATTCATATATTATATTTATATATTTCGCTAAATTATCATACAAATTTTCATTTTTCAGAAAATAGTTTCTTCATACCCCCTAATTGTCGAGTTGCTCAAAAGTTTACCGAATTACCACCAGACTTTTCCAACAACCAAGATACAATTCAGCACAACACAACTCATTCAACAACAACGAAACGGAAACAATTTAATACACAAGATATTCCATTTTTTGAGTTGAATGAAGATTTCGTTGAACCTTCAGGTACCCATATTGTTCAACTTGATCGTTTATCTATTAATAATGATCAACTTCATCATTCAGTTGTGTTATTATATATTTTATTCATACATACAGTTACACATTTTTCAGTTGGTACCAGCGTTAACTATAAAGAAAAGAAAAAAAGAGGCAGACCAATTTCTACAAAAAAGAAGACACAAATATGTATTCCTTCTACTTCAAATGCTCAGAATGATGTAACCGGTAACAATCATAGTAAATATATCGGAATAAGCAAAGGTATTATATCCACACCACAAATTATTTGTCATGACAAATAAAATGTCGTTACCCTATTACATTTAAAGCATACCACAAATATAATTTCGTAAATTTGTTTATTTATTTATAGATTATTTGGATTCTGGAGATGCTGTATATGTTTGCTCAGTATGTAAAGCTAAGGTGTGGCAGGGAGAAGCAATTCGAGGAAATAAGGATTTAAAGAAAACATGTTATTCCATTTGTTGTTACAATGGAAAAGTTGAACTACCCAGTCTGATTCACCCACCTCAGTTGTTGCTTGATTTATATAGCGGTCTTTCGGAAAAAAGTCAAAACTTTATACAGAATATACGTCGATACAATATGATGTTCGCATTCACATCTATGGCTGGAAAGATTGATCACACCGTTAACTCAGGAGGTGGTCCTTATGTTTATCGAATGCATGGCCAAAATTATCATATTGCAGGCAGCTTACTTCCCGAAGAGGGTGAATCACCAAGATTTTGCCAGTTGTACATATATGATACAGATCATGAGGTTCAAAACAGATTCAAATCATGCGAGTGTGTGAATACCCTATATTATAACTCCATTATATATATATATATATATATATATATATATATATATATATATATATATATATATATATATATACTACAAAAAATTTATATCCATTATTTTTTTATTATGTTATTGTAGGTCTAATAAGAAGAAAAAGACCACATCTAATGAGTCCATGGCAAATCCGTTTTCTCTTGAGTTCTGGACTATTCACGAGTTGATGGGCTTATTGGATTTCATTAATCCACTGGTTAAACAATTTAGAATGGCACGTGATCGCTTTGGTTCAAATCCAACAGAGCGTATTAGGTTGAAATTGATTGGGTCAAGAGAAAATGATGGTAGGCAGTATAATCTTCCTACCACAAATGAGGTAGCTGCCCTCATTATAGGTGACATTGATGGGTATGATTCAAGGGATATCGTATTGGAAACGCAAAGTCGACAACTTCAACGTATTAATGAGTTGCATCCTCAATATCTTGCACTTCAATATCCTTTATTATTCCCTTATGCCGAAGATGGATTTCGAGTCGATATACTACATCGTGGTGTTGAAGATCCAGAATCTGATGGACGAATAAGGTTGACCATGCGAGAGTTTTTTGCTTATCGTATACAACAGAGAACCGATGAAATATCATTGATATTACGTTCAAGAAAACTATTCCAACAGTTTTTGGTTGATTCGTATACAATGGTTGAAAATGAACGACTTAGTTATATTAGGTTTAACCAGCCAACATTACGCGTGGCACCTTATCGCAACTTGGCCCAGGCAGCTGAAGATGGCATTGAAGATGCTTCTTTGATGGGAAACCGTATTATTATACCATCTTCTTTTACTGGCGGCAGCCGTTACATGCAACAAAACTAATTAGATGCGATGACTCTGGTTAAGTGGTTTGGTTATCCAGATCTTTTTTTAACCCTTACATGTAATCCTAAATGGCCAGAAGTCATTAGATTTGTTGAAGCCGAGAATCTTAAACCGGAAGACAGGCCAGATATTCTGACACGAATTTTCAAAATTAAACTTGATTCATTAATCAGTCAATTGAAGGATGAAAAAACTTTGGGTGAAGTCGCTGGAGGTATCAATCTTATATATTTTTTACTCATTAACATTATAACTTTTCGATAATTTTATCTTTTAACCCTGGTTGGTTTCTTTGCTCACACAGTTGTATATACGATTGAGTTTCAAAAGAGGGGCCTGCCACATTGTCATGTATGTCTGTTTTTGGAAAAAAATTCTAAAATTCCAAATCCTGAAGACATAGACCGTGTTATATGTGCTGAATTGCCAGACAAGGATAGTGAACCCGATTTGTATCAGATTGTTTGTGATAACATGATACACGGACCTTGTGGCAACGATCAACCATTTATGCCGTGTATGAAAAAAGGCAAATGTTCAAAACGATTTCCAAGGGAATATACCGATCATACATATATTGATGAAGATGGTTATCCTATTTACCGGAGACGTAACGATGGAAATAATGTCCTTAAAAACGGTGTTTCTTTAGACAACAGGTATACACAAATCCTTTTCAATGATTTACTAAATTTTAATTCCTTAAATTTGTTTTGTTTTTATGAAATATATTATTATATGTTTAAATACATAAATATCAATAAACAACTTAAATTAAAATGGTACTAATATTTTATTTTTTAAACGGATAATGTAATCTATAAAAACATATTACTCATTATATATGTTTTCTTATGTTCTTCCTATGTTAACCTCAAATTATCATTTAATGTTGTTTATGACATTTTTCTTGATTTTTCAGAAATGTTGTTCCATATAATAAGATCCTTCTGAAACAATATCAAGCTCACATGAATCTAGAGTGGTGTAACCAAGTTGGATCGATAAAGTATCTTTTTAAGTATATTAACAAAGGACCGGATAGGATAACAACATCTATTGTTGATCCAACAAAAAAGAAAAAACAACAGATAGAAAATAACGACCATGACGAAATTGGTGAGTTCTATAACTGTCGTTATATTTCCGCATGTGAGGCATGTTGGAGGCTTTTTGGGTATGATATTCATTATCGAACACCGTCTGTCGAAAGGTTGTCATTTCACCTCGAACACAAACAACCTGTTGTTTTTAAACCAAACCAACATCTTAATCAGGTTGTTTCTAAACCGACTGTCGCTGCTTCTCAATTTTTAGCTTGGATGGAATGTAACAAGCATGATGAAGATGCACGGAAGTTGTCATACGTTGAATTCCCAACTAAATATGTTTGGAATAAATCAGATAAGATATGGACAAAAAGAAAAACCAAGTCCAAGGCACTCGGTCGATTAAACCACGTTTCTCCCAAGGCTGGTGACATTTACTACCTACGGATTTTGTTGAACAAAATCAAGGGTCCTACATGCTATGAAGATATCAAGACAATTAACGGAATTGTACATGACTCTTACAAAGATGCTTGCTATGCTCTTGGTCTATTAGATGATGATAGAGAGTACATTTCGTCAATAAACGAAACACATCATTGGGCCACAGCTTCTTTCTGCCGGTCTCTCTTTGTTATGTTGATTACATCAGATAGTTTGTCAAGTCCTGCTCATGTTTTTGAAGAGACATATCAATGTCTTTCTGATGATGTCATTCACGTTCGTGAACAAGAAATCGGCGTCAGAGGTAAATACACTAGTTATTTTTTTTATTCAAACTAATTAATTTCTTCTTGAAAAGAAAATCAATTAATTTCAACTTTAAATAAAACGAAAAAACTAATTAACAAAAGGTCATATTTAAATGGTCAGGAATTGCATTTGTATTAATTGCCCTAAAATTTCGTTTTCCCCTACATTTTAATTTGATTCCAAAACAACCCAATTATTGTTCATATACAAATGGTCCTTGGACGGAACTATATTGCTTAAAAATGACCTTTATGCACAAATTTGACATAAAACATAATCAACAATTATTTTTGCCATTTTCACAAAAAATTGTTCGTTTTCCATCATTTATACATTATGCATGTAAAACTGACAAAAAAGCAACTCGCGATTACATCATTTATAGTCGTTATAAAGGTCTTAACATAAGCCATTTACATAGCTATAACTATATTTAATTTCGTTGTTTATTTTTTTTTCAGGCCTGAAGTTAAAAGAGGATGCAATTTTCAACCTTACGTTGTCATACATCGAGAAATCATTATTGAGCTGTGGATTGAGTTTGAAGCAAATACCAAATATGCCGTTTCCTGATCATAGATACATTCAAGAGTCATGCAATATGTTAATTCAAGATGAGCTTAACTATGATCCTGCTATTATTGAAGTTGAGCATCAAGATTTGTATTCCAAATTAAATGTCGACCAAAAAAATGTTTATCACACCATTATGAATGCGGTTAACAACAAACAAGGTGGTGTCTTTTTCCTTTATGGTTACGGAGGAACCGGAAAAACATTTGTTTGGAAGACCTTGTCTGCTGCTATTAGATCCAAAGGTGAAATTGTTCTCAACGTTGCTTCAAGTGGAATTGCAGCACTATTGCTCCCTGGTGGTAGGACAGCGCATTCAAGATTTATTATCCCAATTAACTTGACCGAGAATTCATTTTGTTCTATCGCGCCAGACAGTGATCTTGCTGCACTACTGAACAAAGCGAGACTTATCATTTGGGATGAAGCTCCGATGATGCACCGTCATTGTTTTGAAGCATTTGATAGGACACTTAGAGACATTATCCGTTCATCTGACAGGAATAAAGCGTTTGGCGGCAAGACCATTGTATTTGGAGGTGACTTTAGACAAATTCTTCCAGTAATACAAAGAGGTAATCGTTCGGATATTGTGCAGGCATCGTTACATTCATCAAGATTATGGAGTGAATGTACAGTTTTACGTTTAACGGTAAACATGAGGCTTCAGGTTGGTTGTCGAACTAATGATTTGGATGAGACAAAAGCATTTGCAGAATGGATTCTTAAAATTGGTGAAGGTAATATTGGTGGTCCTAATGATGGTTGAAGCTGAAGTTGAATTTCCAAAGATGTTATCATTCGCTCTACAGGTGACCATATTCATTCAATTGTATCGACCATTTATCCTTCTTTTGAAAACCATCTTGATGACCCATCATATTTTCAAGATAAGGCTATTTTGGTTCCTACAAATGAAGAAGTTGATGCTATCAATGACTACATGTTAGGATTGATGAAAGACGAAGGGAAAACTTATCTGAGTTCGATTCTTTATGTGAGACAGAGTCAGCAGATTGTTTTGAGGAATCAGTTTACTCTCCGGATGTACTGAATGCTTTTAAGGCATCTGGAATTCCCAACCATAAACTCACATTAAAAACAGGTGTTCCGGTCATGTTGCTTCGTAATATTGACCAAACCAAAGGTCTATGCAATGGTACAAGGTTACAAATAGTTAGGCTTGGAAAACATGTCATTGAGGCACGCATTATAGCTGGTAGATTCTTCAATGAGACTACTTATATACCTCGCATGAAGTTAACTCCGTCTGATAAAAGAATCCCCTTCCGTTTTCAGCGGAGACAATTTCCCATAGCTGTTTGTTTTGCCATGACCATTAACAAGAGTCAAGGGCAGTCATTATCAACTGTTGGATTGTATTTACGTAGACCCGTCTTTACTCATGGTCAGTTATATGTAGCTGTATCTCGCGTGACAAGTAAAAAAGGCTTGAAGGTACTCATATGTGATGAGGAAGGTCGTCAAACCAATAAAACAAAAAATGTTGTGTACAAGGAGGTCCTTCAACGATTATAGATAATCATACATTTCTTTTTATTTATTTAGACATATCAATATAATCAATAAAACGACGTGTCTTTATGTTACTTTATCATATTTAATTTTATTGTGTACGTTTTTTATGATATCATCTTAAATAATCGGGGTCCTTGATTGTGTTTTCTTTATATGTTTTACACCCTTAAATCAAATGTGTTAATTTAATAAACATATGAAACAGTCCAAAGTCTAAAACCTGTAAAAGACAGCTTTTTGTTTATTGAATAAACAATTATTTTCCTTTGTTTCTTATAAGTAAATAAATTCATATTATTGGTAACGTACATTTAAAATTCATATTATTGGTAACGCAGGGGAGCGCATAAATAAAATACAAATGTATATAAATATTGAAGAATAATTATAAAAAATCAGGATTATTGGTATTATTGAAATATGTAGAAAATACAGTGAATCAAGAAACATACAATACACAAAACTTTCACAAACCCTGATTTATCATGCACCGATTCAACTATTGCCCGAACTTCTACAATTCTATGTGCAATGGTTGTCATTTAATGAAGGCACAAATTTTAGCTCTAAATTTCAACATAATCAGACTTCAACATGTTAGTAATTCTTTTTAAAAAAACAGGATCTTTGAAGCTAAACAAAGATATATCTAATTAGAATACATAATTGAATTTAATTAATACTTAATTAGGTTGAAGCAAAACCACACCTATGTCAAGCACCCTTGAAAACTGAAATGATTGGAATGTCAAATTAAATTAACCATAGCTTTTTTTCTGGTTGGTCCTCCCTATTATATACCATACATGAAAACAAACTCGTGAGACAATGGGTTCCAGTAGTATAAGCCAAAAGGGTGAGAAAGAAACATGTATAAGGATGGAAATGTAACTTTATGCTACATTGTCATTTTTTACAAAAATATTTATTATTCTTCTCTTTCGTAGCTTCCATTTATTGATGTTCTTCCTCATTTACACAGGGAACAGAAATGTAACTTATTCTAATAATAGTAATAACTGAACCTGCAGATGTTCCTCTTGCAAGTCCTTCATTAATGGCACGAACTGGAACCCATAAAACACTCTCTATATTACTTGCCCAATCAGGCAACTCTATGCTACCATTCTTCAAGGTTAATTTCGTAATTTCCTTAACAGAATCATTATCGTTCTTTTTATCCTCTAATCCGTATTTCTCCATTTCAATGGGAAATGACTCTTCTATCCTCAATCCAGGACCAGTATCAATATGTAAAGCAGCTCCTTTTAGGGAATAATTTATTGGTTTGACAATTATACCCACCCATTGAGGCTCATTCATTAACAATGCAGACGACACTGCTGCAGCAAGATCAACAAGTGCCCTTGGTTTGAACACCTAAAGTTAATAAACAAAACTTAGCCACATTATAATATGAAATTTGTAAAATGACCAATCTACCCCTGTAAGTACATCATACTTTATAAAGAAACAACCCCAAAAAAATGTTGGATACATAACAACCTACTTTATTTCCACCGAACATCATACGTCTAAGTGCCCATTTTCCATGATATTTGACAGGTGTATCGCCAACTGTATCTCTTTCTTCTTCCCTAACAAGCATACATTGGTATCTGCAGCCACTGAGACAATCCCATTTTTCCATTTTATGTATAATGGCTCTTGTACATATCATGGATCACTCACGGATTTCCCATTGGATGTCAAATTGCAGTGTTGGAAGCATACATCTCGAGATAATAGTCAAAAACTTGGATTAAAATTGGCAGAAAAAGATTTTTTTTGTTTAAGTAAGTCAAAGCTCTTTTATATTTTGATAGAATTAGTTCATAAGGGTTAATAAAGATGATATGATTACTGTTAAAGGATTTTAAAATAAGCAAATAAGTGATGCAAATGCATTATCACACAAAGATAGATGTCAAGAAATTCTTATTATGATGCCCCTGGTCAAAATCCAAACTTGCGTTGAAGCTTTTGCTGATGGATTATGTAATTTGTCACATGAAAACGATTTTATAGCGATTTGATTGGAAATTACTCAGGGATTTTGAGGGAAAATGTTGCGATCGTGATCATACTCGAGTACAAAATCGAGATTTATTCTTCAAAAAATTGAAGATACGATGCTGATTTTTAGTGCTATCATGCATACAGATCATAAACAAATATAAAAATGTACAAGATTAGGGAGAATTTTTTTTATAAAAATTGGAAAGAAATCTCACAAAAACTATGAAAATCAGGAAAAAATATATCACGAATCAATTATAAATATCTAGGAAATTAGGGACAAAAACTCATTATTTTGATCTTTTAGAACATACCTCACCAATCCCTCTCAGTTGTCATTCCCAAGTATCCGATTTCACCATCTTCTTAGCCTTGCACCTGTTGCTGACTCACTGAGTCCCTGACTGGCACCCGTTCATACTACTCTCCGAACCTCCGTCCTCCATTGTTGCCGTCATCTTCGCCAATTTCACTGTTTTCTGTTATTCTCCACGTCTTCTTTTCTCTTCAAAATTAGATCTTCAAGATCAGGTACGTTTTTTTCTTTTGAAAACTCTGTCTTCATCGTCTTCACTTTATACACTGTATTATTGATTATTGAATCAGGTTGTAAGTTTTAAGTGATAAATAACAAACATATGTGAATGTTCCTAAAATATCTAGGGTTAATAATGTATTCGTATGAAAAACAAGTTATTTTCGTTTTTAATTTTAATTCATTAATATCATATTAAATATAAATATTTATATATGTTGTTTGTTTTTAAATTTTAAATTGACGTGTTTGAATTGTATTTTTTTTAAATTGTAGGAACTTGTGTTTGTAACTTTGTATTAATTTTTTTGTATATCTGAAATGAAAAGTCTACTATTAAAAAAGTTCGGTTATCCGATTTTAAAGATGTGGAGGTCTCATCATTTTTATATTTAACAAAACTTTAAATCAAATAAAAAAATTTAAAAAAAATGCATCGTTTATTTAATATTTACCATCATTTTACATTCACAATTAATGCTTTTGACTCATTTTCAAACTAATATTACGTAGCCTGCATGGAGGGTAATTCATTTTCTATATTTCTTCATATATTTTTTGCAATCTTAGGTTCGGGTTATATATATATATATATATATATATATATATATATATATATATATATATATATATATATATATATATATATATATATATATATATATAACTTCAAACAATATTTGTTTTTTGTCCAGATAAATGGCTCAAACCACAATTGCTAATTGTAGCAACTCTTCGTCATCGATCATCTACTCCGAAAATGAAGATTTCCTTCATAATTTTGATTTCAATAGTATTGCTGATCTCCAACAAGTACATCAGGTATATATAAATCACTTTCATTTACAATATATAAATTATGAGAAATTGGTTTTGTATTATTTATATCTTATTCCTTGATTATTATTATTTTATACTAAAATTTAAACTTCCATTAACATTTTTTAGGAAAAAACTTTAATTGTTGTCGATACGATTAAGCAAGTATGTGCTGAAGGGGAATGGTACTGTTATACTTGTATTAGATGTCAACACAAAAGTCGTGAAACAAATTTTAATCCATCATGATCAGTCTCAAGATAAAGAAGTTTTTTATTGTAACACTTCAAGCTGCATAAACAAAGTCATTTCTGTTGTTCCCAGGTTTTGAAACTTATTTTATAAATATTATTATATTGTTCTGTTAAATTATATAAATTTATATTACTAAATATGTTTACATCAATGCTTTCAGTTTTAAAATCACCATTATAGTGGAAGATATTACCGGTTCGGTGTCACTTACTTTATATGATTCTGACACAAAGAAGCTTATAAGAAAAAACGCACAAGAGTTGGTTCATGACTTCTATAAGGTTATACATATTAACTTCATTTACATAAAACAAAATTATTATTTTGTATATCTATTTTTATAAACATTCTTTTTTTTTAGGTTGGTAATAATGAAATTTATCCATCTGCTCTAAATATACTATTGGAAAAAAAGATGGCGTTCAAAATTCAAATTACACATGACAATTTGAATAACAAAACA